AAACAGATAAAATCAATACCAATAAAAATGAAGTAAAATCAAGTCTCAGTTGGGTTGAAGGCCAATGTGTAGAGATGAGTTTTCAGATGGGTTTTAAACATGGACAGTGAGGGGGCCTGTCGAATGTGCAAAGACAGAGCATTCCATAACTTAGGGGCACTAACAGAGAAGGCCCTGTCTCCTCTAAGCTTCCTCTTACTCTTGGGAATGACCAGAAGCAGCTGGTCAGCAGACCTGAGTAGTGGTGGAGAAGCTCTGTTAAATGGGTGGGGGGGGGGGGGGGCTGTTTAAAACCTTAAAAACAAACAAAATAATTTTAAAATGAACTCTGAAATACACGGGCAGCCAATGGAGAGAAGCCAGGACAGGTGTGATGTACTCTCTTTTTCGTGTTCCAGTTAAAAGACGTGCAGCAGCATTTTGCACCAGCTGCAGACGTGTAAGTGAGGACTGGCTGACTCCGAGATAGAGGGAATTACAGTAATCCAGCCGTGATGAAATGAAGGCATGGATTACTGTTTATAATTCATCTCTGAGCAGATCAAAAACTCAGGGTCAGCCTAGATAAAATACTAACATCTCGTCATAATTCATTCAACCTTTATTTAAACAGATCAATCACATTGAACCTCGAAGACTTATTTACAAGTGAGACCTGTTTGGACAGACAAAAACAGTGGTTAACTGGACACATGTAAGAGTTGGAGGCGAAAAAAATTCCTATCAGACTTTTTTCTTGGCTGAGAAAAATCTCTAATATTGAAAAAACACCTCGCACAAACAAGCACATATTTACGTAGACATCCTGCATCAGAGACGAGAGCGGTCAACAACGCTTATAGATGCTCTCGAGGTCACTGTAATCAGTCAATGTCCTCCGGTGAGATCCATAAACATTCTCGAGGTATGTCGAGAAATGGCCAAGAATAACCTATGAGAACCCAGAGTCCTGAAATGATGACACAAAGTTTTTTCAGCGGGGTTTCATCTGGTTATCAGTTGGAAATTCCTCAGGGAGGGGGTAGTGAGCGTCAGATCACATTTTCTCCAGGTGACTTTAGATAAGATGGCCTTCAAGGACGGCTTTGATCTTATTACAACTTTATTTTAAACATTATTATTTTAATCCATTTAATGAATTTATTCTCAACATTTTGTTTTTAACCTCAAAACAGAAATACAGATGTTTTTCTCCTCATTTTATTTCTTTTAAGTTGCCACATTAGGTCTAATTTTTGCCGTATTTTTTGTTCAAAGTTCAGTTTAAATGGAAACGTGAGGCTGCATGAAGTCTGTGAACAAATCCACTGCAACAGTTCTGATTCCATTTCATTTAAAAAGTCTGATTAGAAATTAAATTAGACCAAAACTAAACTTGTTTTTCATTTTAGTGTTTCTAATGTTCTCTCACAACCAGAGGAGCTTACACTTCAGCTTTTAGAGTAAGAAAATGAACTTTAAATGCTTCCCTTGCTAAAGTAAGCACTTAGGAAAAAAATAAACATGAGCATTTTGCATGAGGTGCTCCGTTCATGCAAATCAACTTACATGAATCTGGTCACTTGGTCACATGTATGATTCTTGTTGCAGCTCCAGCTGAGCATCTCCACAAGCTCCTGGTCTGATGCGTTCTCTTTGGACACGGTGGGAAGTTATGGCTGCGTTCGCTGTCCTGCCAACAACATGGACTTCTTGGTAACTGCCCTTTGAGTTGTTCTGCTGAAACTAAACTTAGAACGTGTTTAATCCAGATATTGCTATGTTTCAGTGTCCTTCTTTTAGCAGGTAGACTGGTCAAGTGTTTGTGTTTGGCTGTGCAGGTGGGCGTTAGCATCCAGTTGAGCAGCTTTAATCTGACCAGGATCGTCACCATGACTCCTTTCTACACTCTGGTGAACAAGTCTTCATACGAGCTAGAGTGTGGGGAACTCATCAACCAGACCTCCATTAGGTGGCACTACGTCCCCTCCACTGAGGTAAAACTAAACAAAGAACTCGCCACAGACGTTATTTGTAGATTTGCTGCATATGGATGTTTGAATCAATTTGTAAGTTTTATAATTTACATTCTGAGTCTTTTTGCTTTCAGTCTGGTTTTAGATTTAAGTAACTTGTGTCTTTGGGTCGTAGCCCCTGATGGTGTCTTTTCCATGGTAACACTGTACTGCAGTTTGGACGCTTGTACCTCGCTGGGCTGTGATTGTTGGAAACTAGTTGGCAAACTGCATTTATGAGGGAGTTTCCAAAATGTCTCGAAATACTTGTGGGGGTTCTCAGTTTCCTGGCGTGAGCCACAGAGGCTCGCTATCTTGTTGCTTGGTCTAAAAACCACACTGGTGATAAACAGTGGAGGATGACCAAGGAGGGCACGATGTGGGCGGAGGTGGAAAAGACAATAACTTGAAGAGCCGAAAGCTCACACAACAATATGCTGTGATTTTCAAAACTGATCTTATTACACTTTACTCTTTGGGTCAGGAGGGAAGTTCTGCCTCAAGTGGAGGAGTATCTTCGGGGGGGGGGGGGGGGGGGGGGGGG